ACTGCAGGCAGCTGGGAGGATACACATGTTTTGCTTCAGTGCTGAACAGTTTGGGGAATATCTTGTCCAATTTGTTATAGCAACAATAACTAATCACTCACAAGTCAAGCTAACACAGTTTTGTTAGTTAGCATGAGCTAAGCTAAACTTTTTTCATGTAGATGTTTTTCTTTATTTGGACGTCTCAAACTGCAAAAGCAATGCTCTTTAAATGTATTTTTAACAACTGATTAATAACCTATCTGATTGGCTAGTAGCAGTATTGGCACATTTTGATTGGGTGGTGTCTCAACATTTTAGTGCAAACAGAACAAGCCAAGTAAAGCATCCATAATTTAGTACATCAACAGATGATGTAACCTCATTCAAAGGGAATGAGAGGAAAGAACAGTGTCTGACGTGTCTGTGTGGATTCTCCATAAGATAGCACTGATAGCATAGAAGGGTATCTGTTCAGCTATGTGGACGGGTATTGACACCAGCCTTTTTCAGCTGGGATTGCAGCTGCATGACTTTGTTTGATTGACTCATTTAGCAGGTCAAGGGGCAAACAGTAATGTAATGCTGACTTGTACACCTCTGTTTAAAGAACAGCTTGGTCAATGAAACAACTATTTGAAACTGGATCTTGATTTTGTGCAACTAAATGCAGACAGACCGAAAATTATCTAAAAAATAAAAAGTCCTAAAGACAGCTTGCCTGGATAAAAAGCATTATATTCTTAATGTTCTTGTCTTTTTTCCACTTTTTTTCTGCTCAAGCACAAACTCTCAAAGGTTGTATAACCAAACCTGAAAATAGCAGCTACTCATCTAAAGAATAATTCTTGGTTTAGGTGTCAGTTTAATCTGATGAAACAGATAGGTACCTTTTAATCACCTGGAAACCCACCCAGGCCCAAACTCTTTTTTTATACACCAGTCTCAGCTTTTATATCAAGTAACATCCATGTCTCAGAGTTTTTACCTTTCCTAAGCCAGAGCGCTGCTTGTGTTCCTGTTTTTGTCATATATAGTCAAGGCCAAAGGTGACCATGGTTCCACCATGACAGACAGCTTTAAAGGTCTTCGCAGCATAAATGTTTCATGAGGGGAAGACATCTCTATTGTCTTCCCCTCGTTTTAGTGTGCCTTTTTAATGTTTAATGAATTCCTCTATTCTGAATGTATAATTCAGATTAAAGTTAGAGAAACCAATTAATCCCTGCAGTATGTTCTTATTGCATTCTGTAATACACAAAATTACACAATAAAAATACGCTAAGAATATGTCCCAGCAGAATGAGCTAGCAAACACCGATGCTTGTTTACCTCCTTTCGTCTCAGATCCCTGGTGTATTACATGTTGGCTGACTCTCACAGCCATAGTTTACCCTGCTGTCTGGTTAGAGTTGAAACATTGGTAATGTTACACCAACAACAGGTTGGACAATTGTTTGCTGATACATGGCTCATACCTAACCTGGTTGTGAACTTTATTAAAATAGAAAAAAAAAACATTGTGTCTGTCTCAAACTGAAAGTTACCAGAAAAGCATCTGTTCATCTGTAAACTTGCCTATAATTCACAAGAATCACTACTCCTCCTAAAGTACTGGTCAAACTTACACAACGCAAAATGATCACCTAATGGCTGTTCACTCAAACTGTGCTCAAGGTCAAGGTCATATTTGTTGTTTCACAGGGAATTAGCCATGAATCGTGATGGATCGTGAGCTGGATGAGCTATTATGTCATTGACATTCTGGTTTGGTTTATGTGCCATGCTGGTATTTTTTATTGCACGAGTACATCATCACCATTGGGGCTTAGTTGAGTAAATCTCAGGAATGTGTGTGAGAAACTCAAGGAAACTGACAGGCTGTGTAAAGAACACATAAAAAAAACATCTCTCAAAATTTTCCCTTCCCTCACCGACTATGAACACATCAGCAACTGCTTAGGGCTAAGCCACAGTTGCCTGGCAATGACTTTTTATTTAATAACAGACTCTAATAACCATTTTTTAGCATTTTCATAAACTGGTATTCTATAGTGAATATGAGTGTAAATGGTGGTCTGTCTCTCTGAGTTAGTCTCGCAACTGACTTCTCAACTGTCCAGAGTGTACCCCACGTATCGCCCTATCACATGGATGCGATGCTT